TTATTGCTCATTAGACATTGTAAGTGGACCCAGAGGCAGCTTAGTTCATACGTGGCTGAAGCTGTGATGTCCATGTCTGCCCAATAGGCTCCAAGCTCCTGCTCACAGCATCTCAGCTCCATGCTTTCCTCAGCACCATCATGCTTCAGACTTGTCCTTGCAAAGGCATTTACAGAAGAGCAAGGACCCTACAAACATTTCTGAATATCACAAAGGTCAACAGCTCCCATTTCCTATAGCATGCCTATCTGTCATGTGGAGGACCAGGCAGTGCCACACAAGAGTGCTGGGGTCCATGCTCCTGAGCAGATGCCCGTGAGGCTCATGCTGACAACTGAGACACGAGTATAACAAGCACTGAGAATGTCCCAGCTTGGATGCTGAATGAAACTTCAATCAGGGACTCCAGCCAGGGCTGGGAATGGGCACCTATCACAGAACATCCTCAGGAGAAAAGCAGGACATACCACAGTCCAAGCGCTGAAGCTACCACCTACTACCAACCTGATTTCAAGTATGGATGTACAATATCACCATAATGGCCTGTGAGTCACAGGACTAAGGAGGTGGAGATGTCATCACAACTCCTTGGAACTGTGCTACCATCTGACTTGTTCACTTGGGGTCCCCAGTCCCGACCAAAGACGGGCACACGAGAGTCCCCAATATTTGCTGAATAGCTGCATTACAGAAGGTATGAAGTGTTCAGCCCACAGGAGGATCCTTTTCCTGCTCTTATTAATCCATGGGCTTTGCTCAGAGGGCTTATCTTGAAATGTAAAGAATTGTTGAGAAGAAAGAAAACTTACGTTTAAATCAGGCAAATCACTCCAATATGCTAGCCAGCCAAAAGGAAAATAAAGATACCCTGCAGAGAGTTTTGAGGGTTGTGTGAGCAGAATGGAGCACAGCCCTGAACAGCCCTTGCAGCACTGTGGGCACAGATACTCAGAAGATAAGCACATCCAGGAGCCATTCTTGAGTCCCAAATGGTGTCAATAGGGGAAGAAAGAAACTTTCTATTACTAACTGAAGAACTACTGTGGTTTTCTTGTCTCTCTGATTAAGTGAAATGAGAATCCTATTAACAGCTGGAAAATGACAGAGATGTACAGACATCCTTTAGAAATAACCATTTGAGAGAAGCTGCTAGGGCCTGTCAGATTGTCAAGACTCCATGAAAAATTTCTCTGCAGATCATATAAGAGGTGAAGGAAACCAGAACACAATTTGTACCTAGAGTTGCAATGGTCTCTGCACAGGTCTAAGATGAGCAAAAGCAATATTTGTGGGGCCTGTACATAATGCTGCCTGCAGTCCTATAGTGCTAGACTTGCCAGAGTCATGCCTGCAATGGGCACGCTGTCCCACTCAGAAGAGCCATGACAAGGATGAGACACATGGCAGAGGCCCACGCACACCCTGGAGAGAGGCTGGAGCACTGTGCATCTGTAAAATAGGGACATCAGTACTTGTCATACTGAGAATCCTCCAGTGCTGCTGAAGGACTGCAGGACAACCTTAGAACTGCAGCACCATAGGATTGAATGGGGACCCAGGCCTTCTGGGGGATCTCACTCTGATGCTGGAATCTCATCTGGAGTCTTCCACACAAATGTCACAGCTTCTGTTTGAATGCCTCCAGGAGCAGGTGCTTACTGTCAACAGAGGTTATCTTGTCCAACATGGACTCCTAAAGCTCTTGTTCTATGAGTGATACTGTTGTAATAACCTGGTCATTATTTAAGAGGAGAGGAGTAAAGGGAAAGCCAAAGAGTATAAGCTTTGCCGGAAAACTGTACTTAACATTCTCCAAGTCTGTTCCCCACTGATGAATAGGGAATGGGATTAGACAAGGCACTTTGGAACATGCCTGGTAAGGTCTGAGTGATGTGGGAAAGTCAGCCTGTCAATCACACCTGGAAGCAAGTTAGTGGCCAGAACAGTCATGGCCACTGCAAGTGTGCAAAACTTAAATATGTAAACTTCCAAACAAAGGATGTTCCCTTCTCTCTCTCCCCCCACCCCTTTTTGTGGGGACATGGGTTCCTGGGACACCCATTGCAGGAGGCTCCTACACACATAGCACATGGTCATGTTGGGCTCAACATGGACAAAGAGCTTGGATACTGAACTACACCTAGCTGCAACATGGAATGGAAACTCTGGACACCGGCCTTTTTCTGGCTCTGTTGGAACCCTAGCTGCCCCTTTCCCAGAACTGCCTTAAGGGGCAGGGGACTTTGGAAGCCAAGAAATGTAGCTTCACGCAAATAAAGCCTTCCTCATCTAATCTTCCCATGCAAGTCGTAGAAAATTCATTTTCTGGAGATATTGCAAGAACCTCACTCCCACAGTGAAAGGGAAATTTGATTCTCTGGTAACAGGAGGAAAGGTCCCTCTGGCCTCAGGGCTTATGCAAAATGTGGGGTGCAACATTTTCCTCAACTTGAAACCTCCTCTTCTTAAAAATGGAAGAACTACTTTTAATCTCCAGAAATAAAGCAAACCAGGCATATTTCAAGCAGTTGGAATTATTTATAATTTGAGGTTTTCCTTTTAATGTGAAGGATTTGACAGTGAATACTCATTTATGTGGCAGGAGGAATGGCCTGGGGAACTACTCTTTATTTTATAAAGGGAATAAAAATACTAGGGGAAAGTTTCAGATATGAACTCAGGCTTCCAGCAACCCTGAGCTTCCTCTAAAACCACACATTTGTGCCCAGGTACTGAGAGACAGTTTCCTTGCTCTGATTTACAGCAATGGTCCTGTCTTCTGTAATCATGAATCTGAGAATAAGAATGTATAACATGTGTCCTCACTGTGAACAAGACCTCTCCATGGCAGCTAAAGACCACCAAGACTGACCACTGGAGGAATGTAGAAGATATTTGAAAAACAATATAACAAAAAAAATCCGAAAGAAACAAAACACTTAGAAAAACACATGCTAGCAAAACCAACAATAAGAAACATAATCTGAATAGACCTATACCAGTGAAAAGATTAAATTAGTAATCAAGAAACTACCCAAAAGAAAAGCCCATGTCAAGGTGGCTTCACTGGTTAATTCTAAAAATATTTAAGAGTAACAGTTACCAATTCTAAATAAAGTCTTTCAAAAATTATACGAGAGAACACTTCTAAGTCATCCCAAGACACTGATATTACCCTTATACTCAAACCAGACAGTCACAGAAAAAAAACCTATCCCAAACCAGTATCTTTTATGAATAAGAACATAAAGTTTTCAACAAAATATTAGCTAATTGAATCCAGTTACATGTAAAAAGAACTATATATAATGACCAAGTAGTAGTTATCCTAGGAATGCAAGGTTGGTTTAACATCTAAAAGTCAATTAATGTAAGATATATTAACAAAATAAAAACCAATTATATATTTTTAAATTTAATAAATCTTTATTGTTCAGATTACAATAGTTTCTCTTTTCCCCCCAAAAGCTCCCTTCCACCCGTTTCCCACCCCACCCTTTGCCCTTACCTCCCCACCACTGTCCTCATTCATAGGTGTATGATTTTTGTCCAGTCTCTTCCCGCAGCCCCCACACCTTTTTCCTACTGAGATTTGTAAATTCACTCCCTTCCTACGCCCCTGATTCAATTATATTCACCAGTTTATTCTGTTCCTCAGAGTTTTAATTCACTTGATTTTTAGATTCACTTGTTGATATATATTTGATGTTCATAATTTTTATCTTTACCTTTTTCTTCTTCCTCTTTTTAGAGAATACCTTTCAACATTTCATATAATACTGATTTGGTGGTGATGAACTCCTTTAGCTTTTTCTTATCTGTAAAGCTCTTTATCTGACCTTCAATTCTGAATGATAGCTTTGCCGGGTAGAGTAATCTTGGTTGTAGGTTCTTGCTATTCATCACTTTGACTATTTCTTGCCACTCCCGTCTGGCCTGCATAGTTTCTTTTCTTTTCTTTCTTTTTAAATATATTTTACTGATTTTCTACAGAGAGGAAGGGAAAGGGATAGAGAGCTAGAAACATTGATGAGAGAGAAACATCAACCAGCTGCCTCCTGCACACCCCCTTGCCGGGGATGTGCCCGCAACCAATGTACATGCCCTTGACTGGAATCAAACCTGGGACCTTTCAGTCCGCAGACCGACGCTCTATCCACTGAGCCAAATCAGTTTTGGCTGGCCTGCATAGTTTCTGTTGAGAAACCAGCTGACAGTTGCATAGGTGCTCCCTTGTAGGTAATAAACTGTTGTTGTTTTTTCTTACTGCTTTTAAGATTTTCTTTTTGTCTTTTTCCCTTGGAATTTTAATTATGATGTGTCTTGATGTGGTCCTCTTTGGATTCCTTTTGTTTGAGGTTCTGTGTGCTCCCTGGAATTGTAAGTCTATTTTTTCCACCAGGAGAGGGAAGTTTTCTGTCATTATTTCTTCAAATAGATTTTCAGTATCTTGCTCTCTCTCTTCTTCTGGCACCCCCATAATTTAGATGTTGGAACACTTGAAGTTGTCCTAGAGGCTCCTTACATTATCTTCATATTTTTGGATTTTTTTTTCTTTTTGCTCTTCCGGTTCAGTGTTTCTTGCTTCTTTGTATTTCAAATCTTTGACTTGATTCTTGCATTCCTCTAGTATGCTGTTATGTCTCTGTATAATATTTTTTATTTCAGTCAGTGTATGTTTAATTTCTAGTTGGTTCTTTTTCATATCCTTGAGGGTCTCGCTAAATTTATCAGCCTTTTCTAGAAAATTCTTGAAAAACTTTATAACTGTGGTTTTGAACTCTATATCCAGTCATTTGCTTTCCTCTATTTCTTTCATTTGTGATTTGTTTTTTGTCTCTGATTTTGGCTGCTTCCCTGAGTTGTTAGAATAGCTTTGTGTGCTAGGTGTCCTAAATGGCCCAGTGGCTCAGCCTCCCCAGTTACCTGCAGTGGACACTCTTGGTGCACCCCTTTGTGGACTGTGTGTACAGCCTTGTTGTAGTTGGTATCACTGGGAGGAATTGACCTCCAGGTCAATTGACTGTGAGAATTAGCTGTGTCTAAGATGGGAGAACTTCTGTGCTGGAGACAGCTTTATGAGACAAGACTTGCAAAACTGCAAAAGCCTCTGCTCAGTTTGGATGGAGCAGAGTCTCAGGGCTGAGCAGACAACCTTGGCTTCCTGTCAGCCCTGCCCTATGAGAACCCTAAGTTTTAGTGTCCCTCAGTAACTGCTGCAAGCACCTCTGAGAGAAAGCCGCCCTCAAGTTTCACCCGCTACCAAACAGTCCAGTTTCTCCCCCAATAAATCTGGATTCCCAGATTCTCGCCCAGAACTGAGGTTAAGTGCAGTCGGGAGCTTCCGTCTCTGTCCTGCTAGAGAAAGCCAGAGGCACACTCAACAGTCAGTCCTCTCTGCGCACACTCACATGCGCGGCTCCAGACCTCTGACTTTCGCGGCTACCCTGAATTTCCATGTGCTTTTTGCTTTTTCTGACAGTCCATATTCCACCCATATAAGTTTAGATCCCCAAGGTCTTGCCCAGAACTGGGGTTCAGTGCAGTAGGAAGCTTCTATCCCTCTCGCTAGAGAAAGCCAGTCAGGCACTCAACTGCCCATCCTCTCCGCATGCATGTCTCCATACCTCAGCCTTTTGCAGCTCCTCTGAGTCTCTGTGTTGTTTTTTTTCTCTCCTTCTAGTTGTAAAATCTCCACTCAGCCAGCTTTCCTGTGGTTTTGGATGATGTCCATTTTGTCTTTTAGTTGTAGTTTTGAAATTGTTGTGTGAGGTAGCAGTTTAGGTGTTTACCTGTGCTGCCATCTTGGTTTCTCTTCTTCCATAATTGTCTTAAGAGATACAGAAATGCATTTGACAGTGTTTAATACCTTTTCTTTGTGTGTGTGTGTTTATACAAATAGAGGTGATAGTTATAATGTATGAGATTTCTTTTTGAAGTGATAAAAATACTCTACAACTTATTGTGGATGCACATCTGTATGAATATATTAAAAACCACTAAATTGTACACTTCATTATTTAAAAATTTTTATTTTTTCCATCACCTTTAAAAAATATATATTTTATTGATTTTTTTACAAAGAGGAAGGGAGAGGGATAGAGAGCTAGAAACATCAATGAGAGAGAGACATCAATCAGCCGCCTCCTGCACACCCCCTATCAGGGATGTGACCGCAACCAATGTATATGACCTTGAGCAGAATCGAACCTGAGACCTTTCAGTCCGCAGACCGATGCTCTATCCACTGAGACAAACCGGTTTTGGCTTTACATCACCATTTATCTCCTCTATGCTCTCTGTGCACTTCCACCTACACCCCTGTATCCCCATAATCACCACACTATTGTCCATGTTCTCTCTTTTTTTCTTTTTTGCTCAATCTCTCCACTCCTCCCGACCCTCCAGAACTGTCTGCCTACTATGTACCTACTAGAGGCCCATTGCAGGAAGATTCCTGAAATAGGGCTTCTTGAGGCCATCTCTACCACCCCACCTGCTTCCCTCCCTTCTCCACTGCCCCACTTGCTTCTGCAGCACTTAACTTCCTTCTATGCTATCTTCAGTCTTTACTCTATGCCTGGCTGTGCAAATTAATCTCCATCTTGGTTGGGTTAATTTGCATTCTCTCTCCTGATTGGCTGGTGGGTGTGGCTTGTGGGTGTTGTAGATGCACAGTCAATTTGCATGTTTCTCTTTTATTAGATAGAATGAATCTGCCTCTATTTTGCTTAATTGTTCAGTTTGTTCATTAAATTCCACATGAGTGAAATCACATGATGCTTGTCTTTCTCTGACTGGCTTATTTTACTTTGCATAATGTTCTCTAGATCCATCCATGCTGTCACAAATGGTAAAACTTTCTTCCTTTTAATGGCAGGGTAGTATTTCATTGTATAAATGTACCATGGCTTTTTTTTTTTCTACTCATCTACTAAAGGACACTTGGATTGCTTCCAAATCTAGGCTAATGTAAATAACACTGCAATGAAAACAAGGGTACATATATTCTTTCTAATTAGTGATTTGGGGTTTCTTCAGATAAATTTCCAGAAGAGAAATCACTAGGTCATAAGGCAGTTCTATTTTTAATTTTTTGGGATAACTCCACACTGCTTTCCACAATGGCTGCACCAATCTGCATTCCCACAAACAGTGCAAAGGTTCCCTTTTCTCCACATCCTTGCCAACACTTGCTGTTTATTGATATTAATGGTAGCCATTCTGATAGGTGTGAGGTGATATCGTATTGTAGTTTTAACTTGCATTTCTTTGATGGTTAGTAACAACAATAATTTTTTATATATCTATTGGTCATCTATATGTCCTCTTTGGAGAAGTGTTTATTCATATATTTTGCCCATTTTTAATTGGATTGTTTTTTGGTGTTGAGTTTTATAAGTACTTCATACATTTTGAATATTAACTTCTTCTCAGATGTATCATTGGCAAGTATGTTTTCCCATTCCATGATTTGTCTTTGCATTTTGTTGATGGTTTCCTTTACTGTGTAAGACTGTAGTTTGATGTAGTTCCATTTGTTTATGTTTTATTTTGTTTCCCTTGCCTGAGGAGATATATCAGAAAAAATATTGCTATAGGAAATGTCTGAGATTTTACTGCCTAGGTTTTCTTTTAAGATTTTTATGGTTTTGAGTCTAACATTTAAGTCTTTAATCCATTTTGAGTTTGTTCTTGTACTAGAGGTCTGATGCATGAAGATTTGTACAAGAACGGGCCTTCCTTCCCCTGGCTGACGGCACCACCTTTGCTCCTGCCGGAGCCATCTTTCTGCCTTCCCACGTTGCCCAGAGGCCCATAATGGCTGGTGCTGTGCAGAATGCCTGCATCATCGCCATGGTAACAATGCAAGCATTCTACCCCTGCCACCTGTGTATGCAAATGAACTCGCAATATTTGTTGGGTTGATTTGCATACTTACTCCTGATTAGTTGGTGGGTGTCGTGAAGTCACAGTCAATTTGCATATTTCTCTTTTATTAGTGTAGATATAATGTAAGAAGATGGTCTAGTTCCATTTTCTTTTGCATGTCTATCTCCAATTTTCCCAACAACATTTATTGAATAGACTATCTTTATTCCATTTTATATTTTTGCCTCCTTTGTCAAATATTAATTGACTATAAAGGTGTGGATTTGTTTCTGCTCTCCATTTGTTACAGTCCCCACCACTGCTTATTACATCCCAGCACTGAAGCCAAGCAACAGGTAATATTTCTTTTTGTTTTTTACTTTTTCAGGTGACATTTCAGCATTGCACTCCCCAAGCATGTTCCTCGCACCCTGCTTGTTTTCTTCATTTTACTTTGTACCTGTCCCACTTCAGAGGTGACTAATTTTGTAACTCAGGTGGTAAGACAATCAGTGGATGCAAACAGATAAACAGACCTGCAGAAAGTCATGGCTGGACATGTCCTACAGAGACTGAGGTGACATATTTTGATGTCTGGCTAAGCCACAAACTTACTGTACAACCATGGGCAAGCACCCTGGCTGTATTTCTGAAAGAAGATTGAGGGAATAGGTCTCTTTGAAGGTAAATTCTGATTTTAGCCTTCCCTGGAATTAGAAAGTTTGTTCCATGCTGTTGCCAGTCTGTTAGGGCTCACCTCTGGGAACAGGGCAACACCAAAGGCCAATATGAGCATCAGGATAGCAAGCAACTAGCGGCCAGGATAAGGCCCTAACCTGTCCTCCCTCATTGTACTATCTGTACTATTCCCATCACACGCCAAACACTGAATCAACGTGGCCCCTTTCTAAGTCCAGGAAGAAATTTCATTTGGTGCTGGGATAATTAGGACACTCTTTACACACTTGGTAGTTAGCCCTTAACAAAGGGAAAGCTGGTCTTAGGTTCAGAACAGTCCAATGGCAAGAAAAGAGCTTCCACTGATGACACTGCTTTGGTGTCATTGCTGTATTTTTGTTTTTGGCTGCCTGTATTTATGGAAGTAAGAATTTCCTTTTATAAAAAGTTCGTTTTTCATGGTTGTATAATAACTCAATATACAGATATGCAGGTATTGGTGTGTGTTTTTACTCCTTTCACTCTTTGCTATAACTGCAGGGCTATTTTTAAAAAATAATTTAAACTACCAAAATGCTTTACATGGAGAAAATGGCTGAGTACAAAAGGCTGCACAGAAATAACCAGCCAGCCTACACAGCAACATGGGAAAATACTTGGGATAAAATAATTGAAAAAGTGGAATGATAAATTCTATGCCATGGACAAAGATGTGAAATTTGTAGAAATAGGGAAAGGATTGAGAAATGTTGAAAAACATAAAAAGCTAAAACATCTTTTAAAGCAACTTTATGGTTGCTGTAGCGGTGTTTATGCAATCTTATGATATTTTAATCCTAATGAAGATTTACTAAAAGGAAGCCATGGCTAACTTGTGGAGATGAAATAAAAATCACAAAGGTAGCAGACAAATGACTAAAGTTGCACAACAATGAATCAGAGAATCTAAAGACCTTGCAAACTACAGCTGACAATTCCAACCTTTGAAATAATCAAATCAAGAAGCCTATGGCCACCCAATGATAGAGATAGGCCCCCACTCACCATGGCACTGCTCCTGGTCTCCTGGTAGGCCACCTTGATGACATCAGTGCTGGTGTTGAGGAAGAAGTAGCCGGAACCTTCTCTGATATGCAGCTCTGCCTGCAAAGAGGGGCAGGCTAGGAGGCCAAGACTGCCATGCCAATGGGCCACATTTAGGTGGCAAGGCGGCAGTAAAGGGGCTGTACCTGTACTCCAGGGTGGTTGTAGATGGTCACCTCTTCTGGACTCACCCTCACATCCTCTACCAAGATGAGTTCTATGGAGGCTGACACAGGCACAAGAGGGTCCTGCTGAAAGGGTAAGACCAACACCATCAGATCCAGGAAGCAACAGGCCAACCCCATGAGCCCACAGGCCTTCCACCCACCCTTGCCCCTGGGGAAGAGGAGGACAGAGGCCCCAGGTCCCAGCATTATTTGTTATGTCTAGGATACATATCCTGATGAATCCATTGTGTGAGCCCAGCTCAGAGGCCACATCCCTTTGAGGACATCTCATAATCCTACCAAGGCAAGTGCCCCATCCTACCTTCCAGGTTCTACATGGTGGACAATTCACAAACGTATGGGAA